TGCATAGTATGCTTGCTTAAAAATACTGTAATTTATAGCATCTATCTCAGCCAATTCAGTGATCAGCTTTGCTTCTTCAGCCTGCAAAAAATATGCAAATTATTACTGAGTTTATTATAAATTCACTCCTGCTGGAACCAAAACTTAACAAATTTAATAAACACATGATAATAAAATTCCATATTGAATGAAGTTATGGGGGCAAAAATCTAATAATCTATAAATGGTACAACTAATATGCATTTAGAAGAATAATTAGATTCTAATAAATTAAAACAAAGGTGATATGCAGATACAACTATTCGTGTGGGTATCATCTAGCTAAAGCCATTCTGAAATCTTAAGTATCTTAGCAAATGATGCTATGATCTGAAAGCTATAGGTCAGACCTTTGTCATGCTACTCTAGCCTACAAACCCAATGCAAGGTCAATCTTCTATGTGCTTGCTTTTATGAAGTAAAATTAGAATATTTTATAAGAAACCTCCCCGAAATAATCTAAATTAAAAAAATCACCTTGTATTTTAGGTCCTTGAGAGCATCAACCACTTTGGCACTACCAGCTAACTTGAAAAGAATTTCATTGGATTTAACAGGGTCATCCCATAGATTATAGGCACGGACCATTTCTTCTTGTTTGATTCGTCTAGCTTCTTCCAATTCCAGGGCAGGGGGTGCCAACATCTCAGCACGGAGAATTACATCTTCAATCTTCCTTTTCAATGAAAACAAACCTAAACCATTTGAATTAACATACCCAAATTCAAGTGAGAATGGATGATAAAGATTTAAGAGCTTTGAAAAGATAAGCAACAGCTGCAAAAGAATTTGTTAAAACTTGTAACTTTTCTCAAAAACAATTCATTTTGAAAACATGATACCAATACCATAACATAAATCACTAACTCCTCGGCTTTGATTGGAGAAGTACATTACATTAACAATACCAAATGTTCCTTGAGAATTACAGAATTGGAAAGCAAAAATTTCGAAGAAAAATGTATTTGTTTGATATTAAAGCAACTATTATTTACATATAGCCATATAGCACATAAAACAAAAAGGTTTAAAATTTTGAAATTCAAGATAAAACATGAAATTAGCTTTTAGAAAAATAAACACCTGAGGATAGGACAGTTACACCAGTAGGAATGTGCTGAATACTAACTGCATGTTCTGTCAGGTTCCGCCCTTGACTGGGCAGCAAGGGGGATGAAATAATCAAATCATCATCATTAATTTGGAGGTCAGGTGGTGGTCCGAGGAACAGAGGAATCACATCCACAATGACTGAGCTAACCTGCAAGATTTTCAGATTTACAAACAATATGGCTTACTAAAGGTATCAAAATCAAACTCCAGATGATATTGGGGAAATAAACAATTCAATAACACCATCATCATGCTTCTTAAATTGA